CACACACACACACACACTCACACAAAACCATTTTTCTCCATTCCAATTCGGATCCTATAAATCAATTGCTCTGTGAAACATCTGTGAAAAAAAATCAGGTGCTCAGGCATGAAAATATGCAGTTCAAATACAATACTTTTCCGCCCACACTGAAAAAAAATTAGAGGGAACATTGCTCTCCACTGCTGCTTCCAGGGCTCTACGTCAGCCCAGGGGCACCCCAATTCTACAGCACAAGGCCACCACCATCCTGTAGGCCCCGCTGTTTCACTGATTGTTCTCAGTGAAAGGGAATTCCTTCTTAATTCTAGGTTGGATCTCTTAAATTTCCATCCATTACTCCTTGTTCTACCCTCAGGTGCTTTGGAGAACAGGTCAACCCGCCCCCCCCTTCTCTGTGCCAGCCCCTCAATACTGAAGGACTACCATGTTACCTTAGTCCTTCTGTTTGTTGGGACTAGAAATACCCAGTTCCCACAACTATTCATTGTACGCTTTATCCTCCAGCCCTTTAATCCTTTGTTGCTCTTCCCTGCACTCCTTCTAGAGACTCAACATCTTTTTGAACTGTGGTGACCGAATGCAGTATTCCAAGTGTGGTCTTACCAGTGCAGTATAACACTTCACATGATCTTGATTCTATCCCTCTGTTGATGCAATCTAGGATTGCATTGGCTTTTCTGATAGCTGCAGCCCACTGCTGGCCTATATTTGTTTGGCCACCAAGACTCCTAATTCTTCCTCTGCTGTTGAACCAGGTGCTATCCATTCTATAATGTGCATTTGGCTTTTCTTGCTTAAGTGAACTGCATTTTGTTGGCTAGGGCCCACTCTTCAAGTCTGTCAAGATCCTTCTGAATCTAATGGGTTTCCTCCAGGTTGGTGTTATCTGCATTTTTGAGGAGTTCCCCTTCTATCCTCTCATCTAGATCATTTATGAAGATGTTGGACCTAAGATGCTTGGGATACCCCACGGCGTGCTTCTCTCCAGGTCAACACAGTTCCATTGAGGACCACATGCTGAATTCAGGTGGTCATAGTTATAAATTCCTCTAATGGTAAAGCTGTCTCACATTGTTCTATCTTACGAAGAAGTAGACTGTGATCTACTCTGTCAATTACTTATTGAAGTATACTATATTCACAGCAAGAATGCAATAAAGTTTGTCTGGCATGATGGTTTCAGATCCTGGAGCACCTTTCTTTTGCTAATTCCAATCCTCCGGCAGTTCCCCAGTGCTTCAGGGTTTTTTAAAAAGATGTTTCAGTGGTTCCAAGATCATGTCGGCTCCTTCAGAATACCCTTCAGATATCAGGAAAAGTTCATTCTTTACAAACAAACTTACTTTCCCAACTTGATGCTCATATTAATCATATTAACTTTGCAATCCCAATTGCAAAGTCTGCTTTAGCAACAAAGGAAACATACCAAGAAAAAAGGAAGACGGTTTAGCTCATATCAGGAATTTCTGTAGCCATAGAAGCTACACCTCCCAAGCACAGGAAGAAAAATGCAGCTGAGGTTACCTTGAACCTGGTGCGCTGGCCTGCCCTTGTTTGCTTCTGCACTGGCATGATTTTCAAAACTTCATCCTTCAGCGAAGAACCCAGGAAGAAGTCAATGATTTCAGACTCCTGAAAAATCAATACACGATAAACCACCTCTCTGGACTGCAAGAAATTTCACAATAGCACTTTCTCTCTTCATTGTTGACTTGATTGACAAGTCAATCCTGGTTTCTGCAGACCCCCAGAACAAGTCGGCACAATTTCCTTTGCAATATTTTTGTAAGTGGACCGACAGTAGGTTCTTCCTAGGGCTGAAAGTAACTGGCCAAGTCGTTCAGACGATTTTCAAAATTAAGGTAGCTTTTAATTGAATACCAAACGAGCTCTCACTAAAATGGATTTTCTCTAGTTCCTTTTAAAACCCAAAACTAATAATAAACCATAACTTAAATAGAACAATTTCTTTCCAATTTTGTCTGGATTGTCTCACCAATTTCACTGGGTAACTAAGCACAAATGTGCTTACCCTGTCCCCTGCAGCTATCTGTGTTACCCTCTGAGAAATTACTTTCTCCAAGTTTTTAAGAGTAATACCTTGATTGGAAGAGAGAAAAGGTAGATCTCTTCCAGAGATTTGATCTTCATGTCTTTTACCAGTCGACCTAGTTTGGTCACAGGCATCCACTGCAAAAATAGAAATGAGTCTATTAAAGAACCCAAACTTTCTTCAGCAATAACATAAGTTATTGCTTATAAGGCAACCAGTTGGAGCCTAGTTACAATTTTAACAACATAGCATATGGTACATGACGGTATGTATTTTAACAATCCATCCCCTGCCTCACTATTTGCAAGTTTTCTTTGTTATGCAGGTGACACCCAATTATATGTTGCACTTGACCCCAGAGAGCCAAGTCCGGTTCTGCTCTAAAGGAACCGATCAGAACCTTTAATTTCTGTAATTGTCATAACTTGAGAAAAATGTATTAACATAACCAAAGGTTCTCTAACTATAGTGGCCTCTGCTGAATTCTGCCTGGCTTGAAACAGACCAGTGCATACATGCAGAGGGCTGGCTTGCTTTATTAGGTTCAGTTAAGTATTCTGACTTTGATTTATTCAATCCTAATAAAAATGAAAACATAGTCAGCATCCCTAAAGTCCTTTATTTATTACCAGAGAATGGCTTGCTTGGAACTACATCTAGAAAAGCCATTTCCATTTGTTTCAATGAAATCAGAGGACATTTTCTCAAAAACAGTAACTACTCACTTCTTTGTCCTCAGCTTTGCCTCGAGCCCCGCGACCACGACCGCGACCACGGCCCCGGCCTCTTCCCCGGCCCCGGCCCCCACTGCCGAAGCCTCCTCGGAAGCCGCCCCTGGCGGCGGTGGCAGCGGCGGCTCCTCCTGCTCCTGCCGCTCCCGCGGCACCGGCGTCATCCGCCATTTGCTGGGGGGAGAGTTACATTTGAACTACATGTATGATTTCAGACCCCTCCCCCCAGGACCCTGCTGAAGGCAGAAACGGGCCCGCCTTAAGCCGGCCTCCAGTCCGTCTACAGACCGCTTTCATAGTCCCATTTCCCTCCTGAAGTGACCCTAAGACAAGCAGAGAGCGAAGCAATTGCTCCGCCGCCAACCAAGCCCTGGCCAGACCGGCGGCAAGCGGTACGGAGGCGGCCTGGGGCCCATCCCGCCCATTCTCTGCCAGGCAGACGGCACGGGCGTTGAGGCCATTGGGCGGCTTCTGGCCTGGGGGGAAAGAGGCTCCCGGGGCGTTTGGGGCCAGCGCAGCCAGAGCAGCAGCGCTCCGAGAAGAGGGCAGCCGACCCCAAGCAGCGTCCGAGGCAAAAGGCCTCGGTCCCCAAACGGCGGAGCCGCCGAGCGTCTCTCCCGCCCGAGAGGCCGCCACCCTCGGCCGAAGCTTCTCCCTCCCGCCGATTCATGCGCCCGGCTATTGAAGCCACGTGCGCGGCAGGAGCTCCCGAGCAGCGGAGCCGCGCTACCGCCGACCATCCTCATCGAAAGCGGGACCCCCTAAAACCTGCTCTCCGGAGGACGGAGGAGCTTCCTCGCCGCTCCGCAAAACCGGACCCAGCACCGCCCCTCCCCACGAAAGCGATGGCGACGGATATCGCCACGAACAGCACCGGCCACCACTTACGTGCGATAGAATAGAAGGCCGAACGCGCGCAGGGAGGGGTATTTAATGTCAGCTCCTCTCGCGAGATCCGTTATCTCTCAAAGCGCTTGCGCGAAGTCCTATTTCCCTCCCTCCTAAACCGATTGCGCAGGCGCACAGACGCTCGGTCCGTGCCGCGCTCTCGGCCGGATCGAGCATGAATTAAAACGCCCGGGATCGAGCATGGATTAGAACACCAAGGCTATAAAAAGCGGGCTCCGCGTGCGCTTTCCGGGAAGGTGAGGGGCTGCTTCAGCGCTTGGGGTTATCGGTGAGTTCAGCCTTGACTTGGAACGGGTGACGATGCCTTTTCCCTTATGGCTTGTGGGAATGTGCAGTTTCGGCTGCCGTCGCCTTGTCCCCAGGGAGGTCCTCATAATGCACAGCGCGTGAGTGGTACGTTGTATGTCTCGGAGCACTTCGCTCCCGTTGGAAAGGAATTGCTTAAGTCTTTCTTTGCTGACTCTTGAAACCCAGGATGCCCAGAATTCACGGCCACATTCAGACGTAGCTTGTCTCAATAAAGATTCTTTTGGTGTGGCCGGGTTCGTCCCACGTGGCGACTGGTTGATTGCTGATGTTTCTGCCGAATGTCCTACTCTGCACGTTGCTTTTGTTTTCTTTAAAAAAGCAGCCCTGAAATGCTGTCTTTTTCAAAATTTGCGTGATTTTTGCACTTTTGCAAACGATTTAGGTGGGAAGTGCGGTTGAAACTACCTTTAGCATTATGGACTACGTTGTCCACCTATAAAAAGAGCAAGCTGCATTTTTTGGTACTTTGAAAAAGAAACCCTCCCTTTCAATTTTATGTAACAGGTTCCTGAAGTAGAGTGGATGGCAAGCTGCGACTAGAGCTGATGGATGTTGTTGTGTTGGGTACCAGGAGGGTTGAATGAAGGGGATGCCTCCAAATTCCAGTTCTGCGTTAGAAGCCCCGATATTCTGTTCTTTCGCCTCCATTGGCGGGAAGTTGCTGTGAGAAAAGGTAGTGTTGCTATTGCTTGTGAAATGGAAGCCTTTGCTGAATATTCCTCAGTACGCTTTAAACAACGTGCCGTGATTGAATTTTTGACTGCTGAAGGAGTTCCTCCAATTGAAGTTCACCGCCAAATGCTTCCTGTTTATGGTGATGATTGTGTGGATGTAAGTACTGTGCGTCGCTGGGCCAAAAAATGTAAAGGTGGTAAACCAGGAAGAACTGATTTATGTGATCAAGAACGCAGTGGAAGACCAGTGACTGCCACCGATCAGTTTCATGTGAAAAGGGTTGATGAACTGATCAAGGACAATCAGCAGATCACTCAAAGAGAAATTGCTGCCAAGCTTGGCATTTCACAGGAACGTGTGGGACACATTATTGATACTCTTCAGTATCGGAAGGTTTGTGCAAGATGGGTTCCTCGCATGCTGACGCCAGAGATGTATGCAGCATATACAGATGGCAAGTGCTATTAAAATTGCCTTTTGCATTTATGGACTGTATTATCCTTCATCCCTAATAAAGGGGTTGTAAATTGAAAGGGAACATTCTTTTAAAATGATGTAGCAAACAGATCTCTGAAATAGAAATTCGGTGGCAAGCCTACATCCTGTTCACTACCATGATTGGTACTAACAACTTTCCATGCCCCAGTTCCACCACTTTGCTGGCTATTGGCTAGCAGGTGCTGGACCTTTTAGGGTGTTTTCTGCTTATGTGCAAGTTTCTAAAGTAGTTTTCTCTATCTTGGTTTGCTCAAGAGATAACCTTCGGCTGGGAGTTCTCTCAAGGCTGAATTTGGAATGTTGGTAGTTTGTGTTAGAAACTTTTCAGCTGCTGAAAGAAGCTGCTTTGCTGTGACTTCTTGGTTTTAGGGCACTGTCTGAAAATAATCCTTGGTTTCCTTTGTGGCCTTGGATGAGGTAACTGTGCCCATAGCAAAAAGGAGCATTAAGCTTATTGCCTTAAGCACAGTCTTTAGGCAATAAAACCCAGGCTCCTATATCTCATGAAAATACAACATGGTCGAAATAAAATTCAAAATTAAGATTCAAAATACTAACACATTTTTTCCCAACAGATGCTGCAGAGGAAGATATACTTTGAAGACTTATATGCTGCAAGATCTTAACTTTCTATGTACCACTGGGAGAAGGTGTGTTCTCTTCCACACAGCTATTGGCAGAGACTCAACATTTAGAGAGCCTTGATGTGGCAGTGGTTAAGAGTACAGTACTGCAACTTCTGCTGCATGGCAGCTGCCTGCAGTTTGGCAGTTCAAATCTCACCAGGCTCAAGATCAACTCAGCCTTCCGAGGTCGATAAAATTGAGGACCCAGATTGTTGGTGGCAATGTGCTGACTGTAAATAGCTTAGAGAGGGCTGGAAAGTACTGTGAAGTGGCATAGAAGTCTAAGTGCTATTGCTATTTAGATGTACCAAGCTATTGTGTATATTGATTAGTTGGCAGGGGAATATATATGATTTTATAGACAGGATATATACCTGTTGTAAAATCATTTCCTCCAAAAGAATAAAATGTATTTGTGAGGAAACTACCATTTGCAAAGTTTTTTAAATTATAAAATAAACATTTTTGTGATGTATATGTTTTGTTTGAGAATTATTTATCTAGTTTCTGAGCTTATGTAATACCCCATGTATGTATACCAAGCAGCTGCCATATCTCACTTTTCTATGAAAGTTAAGAAATAACATTCAATAACAAAGCCTAACTGATGCAAAACTCCATTTCCATTGATTTTCAATTATGAGTGGGCCAGAACATTTTTGCCTGGGTGGGGTGGGGGGTTGATGTGGCTTCATGGAAGATGTCAGCAAAAGATATACAGTTTTCCCCCAATTAAGGGGGGGGTGTTTGTTTGTGCACACATGTGTATACTCACTACTGATTTGAAGGACACCTTGGTGGCTAGTTGTATCAGAAGCATTCATCTCTATTGGTTAAGTTTGCAAAATTTTATCAGGATAACCCTGGTTAGCCTTTGGGTGGGTTAGTGCTAGGGTTAAAAACGCAGTTACCCAGAAACCCTGTGATAGAAGGCCAGTCTGACAAGTCAAGCCACAGAATATTTCTAGTTCAGAGTTGAACTGGTGGTTTTTTGCAGAGGTTTCATTCCTCAGTGAAGTAGCCTCAGTGCTAGAAGGGATTAACACTAGATCACAATCAAGCAGTAAGCAATACCCCAATCCAAGAACTATCGAAACTCAGACAAGCAGCTCAGTCAAAGAGCCACCAAGAACCCTCCCACCAATGCTGACGAAGAAAGCCAGTAGCGTATAAAATGAGAACAAGCTGCTCCTTTGTAGCACTGATGGTGTTACCTAGGTGAGCAATGAGACCTCTCAAGTACCCAGGTATCGGACCTGGGTACTTGAGAGACCACCTCCTGCTAATTACCTCCCAAAGACCTATTAGATCCCACAGACTAGGCCTCCTCCGAATCCCAGCTGCCAGCCAATGTCGGCTGGCAACTCCCCGGCGGAGGGCTTCTCTGTGGCTGCTCCGGCCCTCTGGAATGATCTCCCCATTGAGATCCGGACCCTCACCTCCCTTCAGGCTTTCCGCAAAGCAACTAAGACCTGGCTGTTCCGGCAGGCCTGGGGCTGTTGAATCTTCCAGCCCTATCCGAGGTTACAACTGTTGCTGTATTTTTAAATTGTTTGTCTTTTTATTTTTATTTTGTCCCCCCCTTCCCCTCCAGACTGTTAGCCGCCCTGAGTCTCTTGGGAACAGGGTGGCATACAAACTAAATAAAACCTATAAACCTATAAACCTAT